GCAACCCTAAAAGTTGGGTGCTACCTGCAGAATCTAGTGTAAATAGTTAACACTTGTAATTAACTATTATGGTTGCCAATACCTGCAACAACTATGACATTTGTCACAACCCGCAGTAACTTGTTTCATTAATTAAAAGGGACAATAACAAACATAAGAAACATTCAGATGGAAGTAACCACAGCTCTTTTAACAAGGTCATGTTGCACACTACAACGTTGATATGACAAGCATATGATATACATATTCTGACTAACTTTACAACCTTTTTAAAGCTGGGCACCGAAAGACCAGTATAAGCAGGCAAGGTGGAAGGATTTATTAATATATTATCATATAGAATTCTTTCTTTTTCACGCAAAAATAGACCTCTTGTGCTATACATTTTTTTTTTCTTTTTACTGCCAACTCTTCAGCCTCAGTAATTCTTTTTTATACTAGGCTAACCCAAGCTTTCTAATTCCAAGTCGAGAATTCCTCAAGCATATGAAAAATGTCAAGTACTGATTGTTGTGAGTGCAATACCTAGCACTCGCACTATCCATCTAATGTATAACCATGGTATCAGAAAAACCATAGCTTATCAGTATGAAGGCAGTGCAATCTAACCTACAACTGTCCAGTCTCTAATATGATAGCAATGTACTGATATGAAAGAATCTGTATAATATATATGTGTGTGTGTGTGTGTGTGTGTGTGTGTGTGTGTGTGTGTGTGTGTGTGTGTGTGTGTGTGTGTGTGTGTGTGTGTGTGTGTGTGTGTGTGCACGTGTGTGTGTGTGAAAGAAAGTGTGTGAGTGTGTGTGCTTACACAGAAACAAACATCATATACATACGTACACACACACACACACACACACATATATATATATATATATATATATATATATATATATATATATATATATATAAATATATATATATATATATATATATATATATATATATATATATATATATATATATGTATATATGTATGTATGTATGTATATGTATATATAATAAACAAACAAAATTATTCCTGCAATTAATGCCACAAGCTATTTTGATCATTCACATCCATAAGTACTTTTCCTCACTCTTTAGTAAAAAATATACATAACATTGACAAAAGATCACTGTTTCTAATTACCTAAGATATTTTCTGATTTCGGGATGTGCCAAAATTAATGCTACCACATAGCACATTAATAACTTTACATTCAAACATTTACCTAATCAAAAATTTCTCTCAACCAAATACTGCAGTTCACTGCTGTATTTAATTATTGAGATAACAACAATGACTGCAGCTGTAACTTTCCAACATCTGCAGCCAGATAACCTGATGCTGCTATTAAAATGCCAAACAAAGAACATTGTGTATATAACATCTAATAATTTCTCTTCCTCATACTAGCAAGACAGGAGCAAGTATCAGTCTGGTTCAACACATTTCTCACAGTATAATAATAATGAGTGCAGCTACAGCCTGCAGTTATCTGGTTCCCCAGATTTCGTGGTTGCAACAGGACATTTTGCCATTGTATTATCACAATGTTCCTTTACACCCTTATTAAAATATTCAATGGAAAGTGGAAAGTTAGATACAATACAACTTAACTACATAAATGTTATTAACAAGTATACTAGTATTTCCCTTGTGGGAAAATGATGAAACACAAAATTTAATGCACAGGTATCTGTGTTAGTTTTTACACATTTCCCAGCTTGCTTCACACCAACCCTTTTTATATGAGATCACAGGTAGACGATCATACACACACTGTATTGAGAAATTAATATTATGACCACTACTTTTAATAAAGCAAGGGTTCAATTTCTTCTTCAACATAGAGATCTTTTCAAAAACAAGTCCTAAGAATAATTTGCAAGGTTGTCTAAATGTCAATATTTTGTCTTGGGTACAGCTTCCCACTCCACTTAATTTATTCTTTGATGATGATGATACGCAGGCGAGGGGACGACTCCCCTTGTTGACAATCACTTGATACAGGGTCAGGTAAGTCCAAGGCACCAGCATTACTCCTGACTCCTCAAAGTCACACACTGACACTGTCTCTAAACAAGACATGTCTTCCTCAAACTGACACTACTTTTAAAAAGGTCTTTCACTTTATCCTTTTCTGAATATCATCATTCAACAATTTAACAGGACCTGCACTCCAGCCGCTGTGAAGGTTCTCAGGTCACTGGTACTAGATGCCTGTTACAGGTATCTTAAAAAATCACATCAGAAGTTGTAAGTTCCCAGCTACTGATGGGCACACAAACATTTCTTAGAAGTAACGATCTGCATTGAAGGGCTGATGGTCATTCACTTGTACAGGCATAGCCATGGTCACTGGCACGCCTCCAATCCTGAGGTCATCCACGTTGTCCCATCCATTGCAGCTCTCGACCACAGTTGAGACCTGGAACAGAAAAGATCAGTTTGAGATGCATGGAACCTTGCAATATTAGTGATGGAAATACTGTTTGTCAAGTCTGCAATACTTTATCCTTTTCTGAATATCATCATTCAACAATTTAACAGGACCTGCACTCCAGCCGCTGTGAAGGTTCTCAGGTCACTGGTACTAGATGCCTGTTACAGGTATCTTAAAAAATCACATCAGAAGTTGTAAGTTCCCAGCTACTGATGGGCACACAAACATTTCTTAGAAGTAACGATCTGCATTGAAGGGCTGATGGTCATTCACTTGCACAGGCATAGCCATGGTCACTGGCACGCCTCCAATCCTGAGGTCATCCACGTTGTCCCATCCATTGCAGCTCTCGACCACAGTTGAGACCTGGAACAGAAAAGATCAGTTTGAGATGCATGGAACCTTGCAATATTAGTGATGGAAATACTGTTTGTCAAGTCTGAAGTCATTTTTACTGCTTAATTTCTAGTCTGTATGATATTCAAAATAAAATAAAGCAACACTTACTACATAAAATTAACTAATTAAATGTAATCATATAATTATCTATAAAATAATCATGAACTAGTGTTGCACTTGATCATATTTCTTACAGTACAAAGGGAACATGTCAACAAGGTGCACCTACTCCAATACACAAAAAAGTTAGCCAATAAAATTGATAATTTTTGGAGGGTAACTATGATTTTAAAGCATTATTTTCGGTCCTAAATCCCGTATTGGCATCAAGCTTGGCAAGGTAAGTAAACAGAATAAACGACATCATAACAAAAGAAAGTCTTGAGGCATGTGAAGGAATTCCCGTGCCTGGAATGCGTCCATGGCGGCACCGGCCAGACACGCTGGCACCCGCCGGTCAAATGTGCCAAACTTCTTACTATTTAATGTTCTACTTTCTTGTCGTAATTTTAATATTATTATCTTTATTACTCCGGAATGTGCGGGACTAACGAAGTAATGACGGCAGCAATAGCAATAACCCAGTAACCAGATAAAACTGTATAAAAAAGTAGTCCAACTTGGACGAGAACTAGTGTTACAAGCGGCAACATTGAGAGCGGGAATTCCAGCAGACTCGCGTGCCGCTACCTCGTTCTCTGGAATTCGTGCTAAAAGGACAGCTCGATAAATAAAGTCTACCTTGAATAATCCACCGCTACTTCCCTCCATCTATGCATTTATAATTTAAAAAGTAAAGCTGAATACAGGTACAAAACAAAAAAGGCTTTGTATACTATCAGTGGCCCGAAAGTCCACGTGTCCCGGATTGATCGACCGGCCGATCATCCATTTCCTTCCCGCATATTCAGGTGCCGCGTGTTCCCCCTGGAGGCAAAATTTGAACCACACAAAGGAAATTACAACTAGCTGTAAACTAGTTCATTAGCGGAAGAAGTTCATACTGTAGTCAAATTATGGCATTAGTAATGGGTAATGTAAATTCGTAAAGCGTTTCGCTCTTACTTTCTTCCTTCCTTTTTTTATTTCCTTATCCGACGCATATTTTCCACAAGTCCTACTGCCAAAGACCCCTTAGTAATGCCACTCTTCCTGAAAGCAGTCTGTTCCTTCTAAAAAACACGCCGGTTGGCGTTGATGCCATCAACAGATCGTGAAATTAATTCAGTATGCGGATATACCATCACTTGTTTCATTGACATCAAAACACTGCTCTTAAGAGATGTTTAAAAATGGCTTTGCCAAACAAAAAGCAGGGAATATGAAACAAAATGCAAGTCCATCGGTCCCTCTCTAAGCACATACCGTTACTTACAGTAGCTGAAGGCAATTCTGACCTGTTTAAGTCATAAAGCCTTGTCGAAATTTAGCCCGTCGCATTTTGCACCAATGCACAACCCCGGAGTGTCCACAAGGCGGTGCTTACTATAATGAGATATCCTTGAGTACATTTCATCATCGAATGCGGCGATGCAAAACTCCACTGCTGAACGGAGTCCCTCCCCCACTGAGCTGCCATGGTCGGAGGAGGACAAGGTCGTTTGGTGCGAGCGTTTCCCCAGGCGAATAAAAACTTGCCAGATCACTTACGTCCTCCACTCTATGCTTTTCTGAAGTCGCTAGGGTGTGGAGCTATTCATTGATTATATCACTGCTTCACGCTTGGTACAGTTGACACGCACCGAATCTTCGGGCCTCAAAGAATTACGGTGGAGCGCGCGAGCGGGTCTGGTGACTGGCCGAGATAATTTACGAGCCGATGGAAGTCTGAGGAAAAACCTGCACTCATTTTCAAAATACGATGCAAAAACGCTCACTTAATGGAATACGGAATAAATCAAGGCTATTGCAAGGACCTCCGATATAACCCTGGAATCCGCTGTTTAATCTGGTCTGATGCAAGGCTTGTTCTACACCATTTTTTTTCCTGCACTCTGGAGGACGAAGACCACTTTGTGGGAATTCCCAAGCCTTGGTTGTGTGACTGCAGATCTCACAATTAGCAACGTTCCTATTTCAGAGTTTCGATCGACCACGTCTAATGCGATTTGAAAACGAACTCGTATGTTCGTTGTTACTGCTAACCATGAACGCCAGGTAAACCTGCACCCTACGCCTCAATAAATAGTTGTGCTTAAAATCACACGGTGTCGAAACCCTACATGCGTGATCACTCCTGGACTCACCTCATCGTAGTCGAGGTCTTCGTCCGCGGTGAGGTAGGTGGGGAGGGCGTCCCCGGGAGCGCCGAGCTTCAGCAGTTGGTGAGCCAGGTCCATCGCCCCGTTGGCTAAGGCCAGCTGCAAGGATCCACAAATGACATGAAACTCTTTGTTATGATTTCAGAACATGTCTACATCACAGTAATATATTTGTCTGGACGTCATAACGAGGATACCCTCGTGACTGACCTGGTAGGGGGTAAGTCCAGCGTAGGTCTCCAGGGTGAGGGACGCTCGGCAGGATTCGGTGAGGAATTCCACCAAGTCGGCGTCACGAGCCTCTACGGCGTAGTGCAGTGCCGTCCGACCACTCTTGCCTTCCTGAAGGGCACAAGGAGTGAGGTGTTAAGTTAGGGAAGATTATTTTGTCACAGCATTGATGTGTTTCACTCCTGTCGATCATTGTTTAAACAAAAACATACATACACGGAAGCATGCAAACAAATACATACATACAGAGAATAGGAATATTATAAAAATCCCCCCCCCCCCAAAAAAAAAAAAATTCGCAACACACTTCTAGAACACAAGCCACGCATCACTAGCCTTCTATGAAGTAACTGCATATCTGAATATATATTATTTAGTGACTGAAAACGATACGTTCAAATAGGAAAGTCTCCAGAAATTCAAGACATTTTCTGAACAAATGGGCATATTATCATAAAAAAAAAACAGAAGACTATCTTCTACCAAAGTTGTGTAAAGCGCCGTCTGTTCAAATCGACGGAATTCCCTAGTGTGTGGTGAGCGGCAATGATTCCCTTAGGCAATACACTTCATTACTACTCTAAGTTAACAGCTGGAACCATGTAAGCTTTCGTCACATGACTGCCTCTGTTTTTTCCCAGCGTAGACTACACAGTGACTCAGCCTTGGGCGGTTTGTATTTTTTAGTAAAATAAATTACCATTTCTTAAAATCATGTTTACATATGGAAATGCCAACTTTCTAAGAGTCAGTCTACCACTTTCTCTCTCTCTCTCTCTCTCTCTCTCTCTCTCTCTCTCTCTCTCTCGCACACACACACACACACATTAAAGCTTTCCCTTGATATGATACAGTAATGTAACATGTATTCTGCTTATAAATGCTTACTTACAGAAAAATATACAGGATTTTTCATTATGTGTGTGTGTTAGCGTGTATATGCGTGTGTGCGTATGTGTATACGTATGTATGCATGTGTGCGTATGTACGTGTATGTGTATGTATGCGTGTGTGCGTATGTACGTGTGTGTGGGTATGTATGCGTGTGTGTGCGTATGTATATGCATGTGTGCGTATGTATGCGTATGTGCGTATGTATATGTGTGTGTGTGTGAGTGTGTGTGTGTGTGTGTGTGTGTGTGTGTGTGTGTGTGTGTGTGTGTGTGTGTGTGTGTGTGTATGTGTGTATGTGTGTGTGTATGTGTATGTATGTATGTATGTATGTATGTATGTGTGTGTATGTATGTGTGTGTATGTATGTGTGTGTGTATGTATGTGTGTGTGTTTGTATGTGTGTGTGTTTGTATGTGTGTATGTGTGTATGTATGTATGTGTGTATGTATGTATGTGTGTATGTATGTATGTGTGTATGTATGCATGTGTGTATGTATGCATGTGTGTATGTATGCATGTGTGTATGTATGCATGTGTGTATGTATGTATGTGTGTATGTATGTATGTGTGTATGTATGTATGTATGTATGTGCGTATGTGTGTGTATATGTTCATCTGTTTATTACTTACTTTGGCGTTAATGTCGGCTCCGTACCAAGTGAGATGCTGCAGGACCTCCTTGTGTCCAGCCTGCGCCGCAATGTGGATACACGTCTGGCCTGTCAAAAACAGAGATAAAGTGTTATTACTCACTTTCCTCGAAGATGAGTCAGTGCATGAGTACAGCCATTAACGTACTCAACTATCCTCACTTGTGTAGAAAATTAAGATACACTGGCCATGGGTTTCATATTTTCAAGCACCATGGCTATCAGTAATGAAAAATAGAAATGATTATTACTACAAAAAAAAACATTAAATGATTGCTAAATAATTTCCTCTCGATACCGGGAGTTAAGCTGGGTACTCCGTGGACTTGTTCTGAGTACCCACATTTCTCCCTTGCTTAGTAGAAAACTCGTCTACTCGGAAAACACACACGAGAAAATCCAGTTTGAATCCTGGTACTTAAGATGAGTGAGGTCAGACGGAAGTGCAAGTCATCCCGGCCCATTATTAATGCAATAACCAAATCTTTGTGCATGTTTTTTGTTCTTGTTGTTGTTTCATTTCGCTCAAATTAAGAGATCAACTGTTAGCAAGAAAACCAAACAAACAAAAAAACAGACAAAGAAAAGAGCAAAGCGCCTCGTGATAAGCAGAGTACGTTTATTTGCAGGATATTGCAAAACATCTTCGTTATAAGAGGGAGATTACACGCAGCTGCGACTCCTTCGTCAAATCTTGGTCGATTAACGCGATAATTGCCATTGTGCAAGGCGCCATTCATCTCGAGTTATCTAGCGATACAACTGGGGTTCAAACAAAGCTTCAAGAGCACGCGGCTAGGCACGTGTTTTAAACAGAAACCGCCAGTAATGACCGCTAACCCAACCCACGTGGGTCCCTTGGAGTTTCCACTTGTGCTGGAAATACCAAGTTCCAGATAAGTGGTTCGTTGTGGTATGGAACTCTCGATGGGAAACCCGTAGATAGAGTTGCTTCCTTACTGACGAGATTGGGGAAATCTCATGGTTTATTGTCGCGGTCCTTTTGCCGTCATTGGGTGGCAACGTGGTGCCATTCGGGGGCCAAAAACGGTGCCTGTCACATACCAGCGTGACGGGACCAAAACACGGCGATGGGCTACGGTTGTGTACATGGTCATATATGGCGTGAGAGGGTGTTTGGGCTGCCACATGCCCAATCCCGCTTGCGCCGGCGCTCTCTTCCTCTCTTATAAGAAAATTGGAGTGGATCTCAGTCAATCCAGTTGCTTGATAATTTATGCAATGACCGTATACATTCCAAAAAACAGAACAGTCCGTAATAATGGCAATATTCGTGAGTGTTCCTGGTGAGAATTTAGGGGCGCGGCAACGACACAGTGTGAGGGTTGCCAACCTTTCTCCGCGAGGGGTTTTCCCGCTGAGCGACCTGCCAGCCGTGACACGATGTCCCGGCCAAAGACACTCACGCCAGAAATACCTCCTTCACTTAATTTTACACATATTTTTATTTCTTCCTCCAATAGTTTGCCATTGTGTAATCTATTACCAGGGATCGCCATTGGCTCGAATCAGAAATAGAGCGCAAAACCAAGAACGAACAAAATAACGCGCAGCAGGGAAAGCCAGCGAACTTTTTAGTCTTGCCCTCAAAGCGATAAAAGTGAACCCAGACCCGGGAGAGAGGAGCGGTGGGGGGCGAGGGACGGAAGGGGTTTTGGTCATGTGCCCTCCTGGACGTCATGCTGTGACGTAACATCCCCTCCCTCCCCTCATTCCACCTCCCTACCAACCCACACGTTCATCTTAATCATTAAAAATCCCTTGTCAGCTAAATTTACCCACAAGGCTAATCTCGGGCACACAGATAGCCTACCCTGTGGTGTTAGCCGGGCCGGGTTCTCGCGGTATCCCTCATGTTTTTGTTGTCTCGAGGCAACAATATCCAATACACGTATTTTTGTAATTGCCTCTAATTACCCGGATGAGATTCTTTACGTATCCAAGTTCATGGAAAAAATGTTATACGTCCATATACATATTTTCTAAAACATAAATGCATACTCATGTACGCGTAGGAGCTCCGACCATCAGGAAAAGCCGAGGAAAATGATGATATTCTTGTTTTTAAAGGATGAGGAGCAGGATTTTCCAGAGATACGACGGTAGTTCACAATGACGTTTCTTTGGATGCTTTATCGTAACGGAAGAAGGACGAACGTCTACATCCCCCCCCCCCCGTCAAAAAATTCCTCTCACACATTGTAAGACGCACTCAAAGTCCCTCGTTACCTTAAAAAATACTTATATACAGACAGAGAGGCGCAAATGGCCACACACCTTTGGGAAGTTCTTGATCACCACCTCCACAAAAAATCGCTCCTCCTTAAATACCCAAGAAATAAGTCGGGAGCGTTAATTTTGGTCTGGCGGTATGTACTTCCCGGGTATTTCGGTCTCGTGGTTGAGGGGCTGGGGTGCCCTGAGATGCCTCCCCCCCCCGCCCCTTTCCAACCCCCACCCAATACCTTAGCGTACCTTACGCCCGCCGAACTACCTGAACGTGACATATAACTGCGCGGGTATATGTATGTCTATCTATACATATATACATTTCGAATCAGTGTAATATACTGTATATATCCACAACTGTGTATCTATAAATATAATTGTGTGCGCGCGCGCGTATGTGTTGTGTGTTGTGTGTTGTGTGTGTGTGTGTGTGTGTGTGTGTGTGTGTGTGTGTGTGTGTGTGTGTGTGTGTGTGTGTGTGTGTGTGTGTGTGTGTGTGTGTGTGTGTGTGTGTGTGTGTGTGTGTGTGCGTGTGTCATATATATATATATATATATATATATATATATATATATATATATATATATATATATATATCATTAACTAGCGTTGAGCGAAGAGGAGCGATTCCCCTAAACATAAAACTCTTGGTTGGAAACAATAACAATGTAGTGTGCGCGATGGGCGTGCGGGCGGGAGGGTCTGCAGGAGTAATTCTGGCCTGAGGTCTGGGCATGAGTCAGGTGGGGCGGGCCTAGTGTGGCACCCTGACCTTATTTAGTGGCCTGACTAAGTCGGGCAGGTCCGAAGGGCCGCCTCCCGCCGCCGCATTAGGAGCGCCCGGGGCTATATTGGCGCACCCGACACCTATTTTTCCTCTGGTGCCGCCGCCGCTGCCAGGCATCTTGGGCACGTCGCCGTCCGCTCCCAGAACACGGGATTCCCACCGCCCCCCCTCCCCTGCGCCTCTACCCCTCTTCCTCCTCTCCCTCCCCCCTCCCCTCCCCTCCGTCTTTAACCCGCCCTTCTTCCCTTCCCTTCCCGCTGGTAGTCTCTGATCTCTTTGCTTGTTCTCTGTTCTACGTGCGTCCGTGCGCTTTGTTCTACGGGGAGAGGAGAGAGACGGAGAGGCTCGAATCCCCTCTGCCAGAACATGAAGCGCCCTTGGAATGCAGCGCCGAAGTTCACTCGTCTTTACCAAACAACAAAAACTACATATCAAGGACGAGAGAAAAAAAATGAGATAGTGAAAAAGATACACCATTTTCTCGACATAAAATCCTTGACTCACACACACACACACACACACACACACACACACACACACACACACACACACACACACAGATACAGAAGAATGAGGCAACCAACTTGAGGAACCCAAGACAATGTTTCCATTCTGTTCTCCTGAAGGACACGGCAGCTGCTGGGGAAGCCCTCGCCTTCATCATTGCTTTGCAGAGTTCATAAACATTTGCGAATATCCCGCCTCCCCCACCCCTCCCCCCCTTTTACGCACTCTTGGTATAAATATCCGCGGGTTACCATGTGACCCATGACCTCCCCTCCCCCCCTCTTACTCCTCTCAAACATGCACATCATACGTGGGGAGGGGGAGGGGGGGGGGTCAATGGCGTGGATTCTTGTGTCTTTATCATTCACTGCCAAGGTCACGCTGATCAGCATTCACCTAAATATCACCTTTCTTAGCACATTTTACTTATCATTTACACATTTTCATTCTCCGTCGTAAGAAAAAAAGGAAACTATCCCGGACTTAAGCCGCGAATACAAAAAAAAACTAAATTATTGGTTAAAAAAATAATACAAAAATGAGATCCTCAACCGAGCCCAGTGGCAGCGTACTCGCCGTCCGCGCCTCCTGGATTCTGCACCATCACTGCCATCTGACGGTGCCCACTGCGGTCATGAGGCCTCCGCGTGTCTCTCTCTTTCTCCCTGTGCCCATGACGCCCCTCGCCTCCAAATTCCCCATCCGCATCTCTCGAGTTTCAATCTCTAGGCACAAAGTCTCATTAATCCACGTTCTGGCGGTTTTTATGAAGTCACGCCATTATGCAACCCCTTGAAAAATCCCAAAACTACTGACCTTGGGGGTTTTCGAGTCACTCTCCACGGAACTTATTTCGGTGCGGCCCCGACCACTCGCCACGTAATTTGTGTGTTTATGAATAAGGATAAATATGTATGTGTATAAATACTGCAGGTATTTATGTTTGTCTGTATGTGTGTGGCGCGCGTGTGTGCACATACATACATGCATGCAAACATATACACACGCATTCACTAATTCACTCTCTCTCTCTCTCACACACACACATCTATATATCCATGTCTGTCTATGTATGTATGTATGTATGTATGTATGTATGTATGTATGTATGTAAGTATGCATGTATCTCTATATATACATGATTAATAAGATGCGGGCAATGATGACACCGAAATTCCATTGAGGCCGTTCTACCACATCTCCTTCCGCCTCCCACACTGCCGCACTTCCCGGAGACTCACAAACACCTTATCATTTCCCAGGAGCCAACAGAGAAACCATTCAAACCGCAAGGCTGACGAGAGAGAAACTACGAGGCACTAAATCTTCAAGGAGTTCCTCTGAACGAATTTCTTTAGGGTGGTTTGAGCCAGATTTCTCACTTCAGGAGGAGCCTTCGCGGGTACCTCGGCTTAGGTTAGGCCCTTGACCTCTCGCCCTCCCATGACCAGCTCGCGAACCTCACGAACTGGTTCATGACCTTCTTTCCCGAGCCCCGTTTCTGTCCTGACCGGTCCGTGGCATT